ACATGAGGAGTAATTGTATTGTATCATACATGAGTGTATTTGGTTGTATCATAAATGAGTGTAATTGATTGTATCATACACGAGTGTAATTGGTTGTATCATACATGAGTGTAATTGATTGTATCATACACGAGTGTATTTGATTGTATCATACACGAGTGTAATTGATTGTATCATACACGAGTGTATTTGATTGTATCATACACGAGTGTAATTGATTGTTATCATACACGAGTGTATTTGATTGTATCATACACGAGTGTAATTGGTTGTATCATACATGAGTGTAATTGGTTGTATCATACATGAGTGTAATTGATTGTATCATACATGAGTGTAATTGATTGTATCATACACAAGTGTATGCTACACCAACTTGTATGAAGGTGTTGGTCGCGTGGCTTCAGTTGCCATCATTCCATTAACTGTCGATTGCAAAGGTCTTCATTGGAAGTGTCATTTCGCTGTCAATTGAAGGTGTCGTGTAAAGTGTCTGATGTCTCTCCTTGCTTTGACCTTCGCTTACAGTTGAGTGAACTGTTGGAACGGAGTGACCCGTCAACAGCCCAGCGATATCTCTCGGCCGCTGTAGACATACTCAGTAAGTTTACTGTGGCCACTTTACTTTACTTTACATTACCTTACTTTACATTGCATTGCATTGCATTACATTACATTACCTCGCATTACATTACACTACATTACATTGCATTGCATTACATTACATTACATTACTTTACTTTACATTACATTTCATTTCATTACATTGCATTGCATTGCATTACATTACATTGCATTACTTCACATTGCATTACTTTACATTGCATTACATTACATTGCATTGCATTACAATACATTACTTTACATTGCATTGCATTACATTACATTGTATTGCATTGCATTACATTACATTATATTGCATCACATTACATTTCATTGCATTACATTACATCACATTGCATTGCATTGCGTTGCATTACAATACATAACATTACATTATATTGCATTACATTATTTGGCAAAGTACTTATGGTACTGAGGGGGTGGTAGTACTACTTGTATGTATGTGACCATGTCTGTTAAACCGCTCCTGCGATACGTTTTGGCTCTCATTTGGCTATGAATACATTGCAACGCTTACAGTAGTTCTCACAAATCATCACGTGTGTGTGCACACGTTCATTTGCTCTATCGAGTTGTCCTTTAATGTGTGCGTAAGTGCAAACAAAGTACACACACCAATGCATATCACCAGCCGTAAGCATAAGGGGTTTTATGGTTTGGGGATTTAACCGATTAGTTATTCTAAGGTAGGTATACTGTCTCTCATGCATATGAGCACTCATTTTACATCAATCGTTCATAATGTTTTTAAGGTTTTCAGGGTTTTAGGATTTAGGGTTTGACTGTCAGTTGTGAGGAGAGGCCCTACGCCTTCGCAACTGCCAATTCTTTTCGCAATGCTTTTAGTTGCGGTTGTTTGTCTCGAGTTTTCTTATTTGTTCTTCTCATATTGATATTGTTTTCTCATTTATTATCTTCTCATGTTGTTATTGTTTTTTCACTTGGATGTTGTTTTCTCATTTGTTCTTCTCATGTTGATGCAAATGCTTTCTTTTGTTCTCATCAGCTGCGCTGGCTAACAACTACATCTCCAAGAAGGGAAAAACAGACGCGATCCTGGTAGGTAATTAATGTAAACTCACTTGGTAGGTATCCTGTGTTGACACACTTGGTATGAATGGATTTAAAGTCTCCGATGTATGTAGTATGTAGTCTCGGTAATATCACCACATGACTATTGCGAACAGTACTTGTGTGCACGTAGACACATGTGCCATATTACGTAAACACACAGTAATATATTTATGAGATGCATATGGGACACATGTCGTATATTGAACAAATAATGATATATTCTCGAGTTTTATATATGCTACACATGTATCATTGTGCGCAAATACTGAATAACAAACTTATGAGTTGTATTTGCGACATCGGTCGTATATTCCACTCTCACAGCTGCACGGCATGGGTGACTTTGGAAAGCGAGACGAGGATGTGCCGTTGATCTATGGCGACTACTTCTTCATCCAGGCCCTCAGTCGCCTGTCTGCCAACGCATTGGTACACTGACCACTCGACTTGTCTGCTGCTGAGTATAGCACCATGCGCACTCGCAAGGATTGGTGCGGTCTGATTGACTGAACACTATATGCACTCCAAATCTTAAGCACCAAGTGCACCCTAAACCCTAAACACCAGGTGTACCCTAAACCCTACACACTGTGTGTACCCAAAAGCCCTATTGATACTGTATACCTACTGTGACGCCATGACGTTATTTCCTATGCGATATAACTTCTTTGAATGAGACGTTCATGCGCTTTAGCAGTGGTGACCATTCATGTATGTGTTGCATGCACTGTTGTCTCATGTGTGTTGAATTTCTTCTCATATCCCACAGAAGAACACGCTTGGTTCAAAGTATTCAAGGGCAACTCCAGCAAGTGGCCAGGAACAGCACCGGTCAGAGGGGCAGATGGTTGTCTATGGCTACACAGTTGATCAGATGTACATTGCATTTGGGTTGTTGGTGTTGCTGTACGTCTCCAGACGTCCCTTACAACGCGCTGCTAAGTTCAAACGCTGGTACGTGTGTGCTGTAGCTGCTTACGGTGACCTATGCATGTGTCGGGGTTGGTCTGTGGTTGTGTAGTGCTACTGGGTGTGTAGTGCTGCTGGGTGTGTAGAATACTGAGGCCTACCTAAGATAAGTAGATCGAAGCGGTTCACCAAAGGTAGGTAGATCAGAGCGGCTGACCTAAGATAGGTAGGTCAGAGCAGTTCACCTAAGATAGGTAGATTAAAGCTGTTGTCCTAAGACGATAAAAGCTGTTTATCTAAGATAGGTAGGTCAAAGCAGTTCACCTAAGGTAGGTAGATCAGAGCAACTCGAAAATGCGAGGCTGTACAGAGTAGTGTCTATATAGTTCCGAGGTATGTGTACATTGCTACCGTGTTTTTATATGGTCTTACTTTGTGCGACTGTAGTGAGTGTAAACCCTTTTAAAATCCTGGTGCACTGAATTGGACTGGCGTACACAAAAAAAATATATTTGTGAGCATCTAATTAGTCAATTGCCATAACATATCAGAGCAATATATCAGTACAACATATGGTACAATATATTAGTACAGTTAGAGTGCAACATATATTTGTAATTTGTAAGCCAATTGCATTCTCAACTCGTCCACTCCATCTCCATGACAACCCACAGGCGCTGACGACGGGTCGATTGGGATAACCTAATGAGGCAACCGAGTACAATTAACCAAACTAACAAATTAGAGCTACCTATTAGAACTACCTCGTTATATGTAGTAGGTTATTAAATTAGTAGAATCCAATGAGGCAATCGAGTACCATTAAGCAAACTAACAAATTAGAGCTACCTTCTAGAACTACCTCATTATATGTAGTAGATTATTAAATTAGTATAATCCAATGAGTCAACCGAGTACCATTAAGCAAACTAACAAATTAGAGCTACCTATTAGAACTAGCTCATTATATGTAGTAAGTTATTAAATTAGTATAGCCTCATGAATCAACCGAGTACCATTAAGCAAACTAACAAATTAGAGCTACCTATTAGAACTACCTCACTATTTGTAGTATGTTATTAAATTAGTATAATCCAATGAGTCAACCGAGTACCATTAAGCTAACTAAGAAATTAAAACTACCTCATTGCAAGTAGTAAGCTATCAAGTTATTACAACCTCATAGACAGTGTGTCCTGTAAGAGCAAGTGACAATTGACGTGCACCGTGCAACCGCCTCTATCCTTCCGTAGCCCTAGTCTCTGGTGGCGTCGAGTGTTGAGCAATTGCATTGCTGAGTAACTACGTCTTTAAGTTCCTTTGGGTTGGCTAAGATATTCGTATGTCGCAAGTACAGCCAAAAGAAAAATAGGAATACACGGTGATAATTGAGTGTCTGCAAAAGCACATCCCAATGCAAAAAAATCATACGAGTGAGCGTCGACTAAACATGTTTGATTGTAAGTGTATTGATGCCGTGAATGATGTTGCAACATGGCTCTTGCAGGCACAGCTGTAAATAAGGGTAGATATACAGACAGTTGCACATATTTCGAATTGTCTGTATGTCTATCACAGCTCATTCCCTTGAGAAATTAATTACGCATCTGTCAAAAGGTCGACAACAGTTTTCGTAAACAAGCGTCATATATATATATATATATATACATATATATATATATAATATTAATGGATTGCCATACTCACCACACACAGATACACTTCGCTGTTCACTATGGTGACAGCATACAATCACCCAGAGTCTACGCAGAGCAGTAGTGGCAGACACTCTTTGTTGCCTAAGCTTTATATCAGTGTTCGTAGTACCACTCACAGATATCACACACATATCATTTGAAGCGCCCTCGTCAGTGGCGCAGGTATAGGGTTGTGCCATGCAGTCTGATGGGCTTGGTACTATGGCAGCTTTATATTTGTCTAGTATCATACTACCATGCCTGGAAAGCTTTTATATAGTTTTGTGATCGTCTAAGAAATTGAGGATCGGTTGAAGATTGGCCATCTTTTCGGAGCTGTTGTCCGTGGCATCATACTGTATGCCAACGATGTATTGCACCACACCCTGTGATTACAATGTTTACTCAATGGTTAGTATTCGGCTATAACCCTAAAACCCTGGAAAAAGAAAGTGACAACAACTGTAACAGCCGGTACACACAGGTGTAGCGTCCCCTCTACCACTCATAACACACTTGCCACACAGTCATATCGAAGGCTTACAACTATCTCATACGATATCATACGGTAGAGTTGCAGTGCACGCACCTGATCGTTGTGGATGGGGAACAATGTGAGACAGTTCTTGAAGACCTTCTGATCCTTGGTGTAGTTGGTGATGGTCACATGCAGCTTCGTCCCGTTTTCAACGCTCTCTTTCAGAAGCCTCTTTGGCTCAGGTTCACTGTCTGGGCCCTGCGAAAAGATGTGTACGTGAATCAGTCAATTGTACTTACCACCCACACCCTGTCTCGCACTAAGTTGTAACCAAGTCAACAGCGCAGTCAATCGACTTGCTAGAAACACCACTCAACCACGTCGGCTACCACCATTGACAAAGGGCGTACCTGCAAGAACCGGCAGCTTCTGCCGATAGTTTCTGTCTTGGTATATCCGGTGGTGCTGGTGAATTGTTCATTGATGTAGCACAGGGGATATCGGCCCTCTACGCCCAAGTCCTCGTCACTCGTTCGGGCTGAGATGGTGATGCAGAAGGGCAGCATCTGTCCCATGGAGATCAGTGAAGCCATCCAATTGGATGATAACTGTTTCTTATGGATATTGTTCTTCAAAGCATTCTCACTTTCAATCAGCTTCGTTAACTTCGGCAGCTCTTTCTTCTTGACTCTTACCATCAACCTGAGTGGGCGCAACAAAGAACCAATCAGCAGACGGACGCGCATTTCACGTGTTCAACGCTCTAAGATAAGACTGGTAATGCACTCGCCCGTAGTATCGATGGGAATAAAGCAGACAACTCTGATTGCAGGCGCGCAGTCTGGGAGGATATACTTTGTAAGGTAGTCTTTTCCCGCATTGCTCGCAAGGAACCTTGGGAACGAATCAACGGCCATCAGTGCTACAAGGCTGCCCTGAATTCGGGCGACGTTGTTCTCCTCTTCTTCTCCCATTATACTAGACAGACTTTTTTTTATTTGATTACCATTGCCAACTGATGGCAATGTATGCACACTTTCCGCCTTCTTGCTTTCCTCTCCGGTGGAGAGCGTTCCATCACCCTGATTGTCCTCAAATCTATATCATTGTGATAAAAGTATGTATTTGTCTTAGTTGACAATCGATTTATTATACATCTTAAAGGGAAAGCGTCCAAAAATTAATACACATACGAAACAACTAACCAACACAACATACTATAACGATTATAAACAAATCATCGCTCCCTTACATACTGTAGAGCTTTCTGAAAATCAGTCCGTTGTTCGTCAGTAAAGTTGACAGTGCCAGTGTCCACGAATCTTCTAGAAACTAATGTGCCAATCATTTGTAGATGTTCTCGGCGCTTTAGCGTCTTCAAACCCTCGAGCTCTTTCCAAAGGCTCAAGTTCTCCAAAATTTGTTCCGACCATAGAAAGGTCTCAAACAATTGCATACCCGTTTCGTCTTGTAGAATCATGCTGAGTGACCTCGTGCGATTTATGAGCCATGTACTCTCAACAAGCCTGTTTATAAATTGCAACAACTACGTCAGAAGTTCTATTAATACTTGTTAACCTCCAGCTATCGGTCATATATGTAAACATTAAAAGACGCGGCATTTTTTTTTAAATCATGATACGCGGCATTTTGAACACCACTTGCCTTCGAATGAACACTTGGGCGGGTACTTCTGACGTGCACATCCAGGAACACAAAACGGAATATTCACCTCTTAACATTATTTTAAAAGTGCATCCATACCACACTCCGATGGCTCACAACTACTACAATAAATTATGTGCAAATATATTTATAAATTGATTCGAGAAGAAAACACCCAATGCTGCTCATCAATTTACTTATCGGAAAGCAGTCACGTGTATAGATCACAAGGACGTATTTTAAACAGATGAATTGAACAAAGTTTGGTTCTCCGGTATGACCATGAAATTTTATGCAGTGCCCGCGTTGCTAGATGTGATAAATGGTTGTACTTTGCACCACAGCAAAACGATCATAAACAATGTAAATATACTCAGAACACACATGCAGCGTGCTCATTCATAAAGAAAAGAACGACATGATAAAGTACATCCAACATACTAAGATGTCACATGTAGAATGTAAAATATGTGTCATAACTCTCTCATTCTGGCTTGCTATCTATGTCTACCTCTTACACTTAGATTTGGTGCTAACACAAATACGAGCCAAAGATCTCTTTCTCAGACTAGTGAATTTGTATACAAATGCCAACAGTACTTATTTTCGGGGTTGTGCAGTAATAGATGAATCTCAATCATTTTACACGATCTTCACGGTAATAAACACATCCATCAGTACGCTTTGTTATATTGACTATACTCGAATTATGTTTAGAAGTTTTTGAACAAGCACGAGAGAGCATAGTATGATTGAAAACTCTTGTCTGAACACAGAGTAACACGAACGTCATAAATCATCTATAGTCCGTGTTGCATATCAGCAATGACGCATATGGGTACATACTCTTTCAAATCATCATCTTGTTGGGTGCCCTTGTAGTCCAGAACATCTTTGGACCATTTGAAAAGATTTAGTTGTTTCAATGCTTTAATATGTGACTTTGTCGGCTTAACTTTGGTACTTGGAGTTTTATTCGAAAGCGGATTGCGAGTACGAGGAGAGGTAGTGTCAAACATTAATGCTAACTTCCCCATCGAGTCCTGGTCCGTCATGATACTTAATATACTTTGATGTATGTCTCACTCGCAATAATGCTATTTACGTGGAATAATTATTTGACACGATTCTCCAGAGGTGTGCGTGATCCCGTATTCGCAACGATCTGCTCTACCAGATAGCAAGCGTTCGGTAAATATAAATACATAATATTTTCAAAATGATGTTTGATTGCCCTTATTTTTTTTTAAACAAATTCGAGAGAGAGAGAGAGATAAATAGAAGTGAATTCAAAATATGGCTGATCAGAGATCAGATATCTGTAAAAATAAAAATAAAAGTTCTGTATCGTCACACGAAGGACGATTTGTCATTTGCCAGTTGCCACTACAGAGTCAAATACTCTTATTTTTTTAAATATTAAATTTCAGCAATGTGTATTTAATTATTTATTTATTTATCCGTCGACTATGTACTTCGTATTTTATATAAACAAGTTCGTACCTACTCAGTGTAAATAGTAAACACTCACTACAGACTACTAGCTCTCTAAATACTAAATAGACAGGTTATACTTTTTTTATACATTTAAAAATCATTGCATTAAGAAAGAAGGCTTTGATAAAGTACCCTTGTTGTTTTGTAAATGAGGCAAATTATTAAAAAAAAACTTTCAATCAAACAAAAATGTCAGATGAAGCGAACTTCCAACTTCTTTTTTTGTTGTTGACTTGTTGGACTTCCGAATTTCTGAAGCCGGGTGGATTTGCTCCCAGACTTGAGAGTTGAGGCTTGATATAAGTTGAGACTTCTCTCGAAAGTAGTTCAGAGTTCAGATTTCAGAAGACTCCAGCGAGAGCACCGAGCTTTAGACATCAAGCCAGAAGGGGAATAAATTATAAATAGTCAGGCACCCAGCCGCCGATTGCCTTTGCCGTCGGTGGCTCGATGGCGCGGTGCCCTCTCTCCCCGGTTTGTTTTCCACAAGAACGACACCTCGGAAGTATCGGTGTTAAACATTATATAGTTAATCTATAACACCTTGTTGGCAGTCGAAATGTATTTGTTAAAACTCGAAACAGAAACTGAGAACTGACTTGTTGAGCTTTTTTGTGCGAATACTTCACCTATTTTGAAAAATATGTCTAATTTAAAAGGCTATGGCGAAAGACAGGTTTATTAATACTTCTCTTAAAAAAGTCCTTACTCAGAGTCCTGAACAGTAAGCACACATTATGACCTGCTACCCGATATTCTAGTAAAGAGAGAGAGCTGTGAAAATATGCCTGATCGGAGTATGTAGTGTCCGATGGGCATACACAGACGTAGCCTATCTGAATGAACGCAGATCATGTGTGATTCAGTCTCTCTGAGTCCTCACTCCTCATTTCTCGGTCTCTCTGAGAGAGAGGACCCAGCAGGAAATGAAGAAAATGTTAGAAAAAGAACAAATGTATCAAACAAGAAAGTCTAAAATATAAGAGAACAGCAACCATATGACTGCGACCACCGCCTAAGCCATACTTGTGGCTTTGCGACCCATAAGTCTGAACGCGTTATCCGTACAACTTAAAATTGAGACCACCAAGTCTGACGCTTACGCTTGCGACCACAGCTTAACGCGTACGCGTGCGTCACTTAAATCTGACGCTTTGCCTTGCAATCGCTAAGTCCGACGCTTAACCTTGCCTCTAAAGTCCAAGAGTTTAAGCGTTTAGGATATTATTTTCTCTTCTCGCAAATGAATGGAGGTTGAATTTGTTTTGCGTTTTTGTTTGGTTTTTTTTTCAAGTTGAAAATTGAAGAGTACTTCTTCGGAGATTGAGATCGGGAAGCATTTAACATTTTAAAAATACTGTTGTCCTGTAGTGACGAGGTGCGAAGTATCGGCTCGCAGCAGAGACAATCTAAGCTATCTGATTGGTAGTTAATCTATTAGCACTAGATAGGGTTTTCCTATCCATTGACCAGGGAGGTTTTTTCACCCCTGAACATATTACTATATGTCAGTTAGTCTTAGTATAGACAGTATAAATAACCCGAGTTAACAGGGAATAAAGATACACTTTTATATGGTCTATCTATTTAGAATATATATTTTATTTACTATATACATTTTATTAATGAGTCTTCACTGAAGGCTTGGCACGCGCTGCTGTCGCTCTGGGTGATCTCACAACCGATAGCCACATCTTTTAAGGTGTACATGGTGTTACTTTGGCGGCTCTCTACCGCCTATATATAGGGAGTAAGGTATATCAATAACTTATAAGGTCCGGTATATTAATAAATACAATGTTTAAAAATATCCAATAAATATTTTAGTTGCACCGGCCCACCTCAAAATCAAATTTCTTGGAAGACAATTTTTAAATTTAGTGTACATACTTCATATTTTATATTCATTCTTTTTTTTTTAATCCTTTTATGTATTTTTTTGAAACATGTAGCCTTTTTTCAAGATAAAAAAAACCTATTCAGTTCACCACAGTTGAAATTGGCACTTGGCAGTTGGCTCTGCGTTTCGGTTTTGGATGACTATATATATTTTTGAATTTTTTTAATACAACTTTCTCCTCATTTCCATTTTTGTTTTGTAACAAAACCCAATAAAAACCTCTACTGCAGTATTTATATATATTTACTTTTTTAAAACCAAAAATCATAGCCTTCTGAAAATAGAACACAAAAATAGAATACAAATCTGCTGCGTTTAGGATTTTTAGAATTTTGTACAATAAAAAAATATGTTTAAAAAAAGTTTTTGTTTTTGTTTTGTTTTTTATAACCAATATATGTGATTTGTCTTTTACTGTTTCAACTTTCACATATATTTATAGGCGCACTCGGCATATGTATGCGTTTTTCAAATACTCTTGATATTTATCTGATATGTATGTATGTAGCGATAAATATTTATGGATCGTTGCCACGATCGTTGCCACACCTCAATGAATTATGCATCTTTACAAAATTTTCTTGATGCTAAGTGCATCTTTGTGTGTCAACGCTTCGCGGGTGGGTAGTCCTATAGCACCACCTGTATGGGCTAGTCAAGTACACGCGGAATTGATCCAGAATCGAAGTGGTATGCTAAATATAGGATTGAGTCTATATGCTACTCGCATAGGTGCGTCTGCGCTTGCTTGCTTGAATATTCCTATATACATTTGAGTGTTTATGTAATTCCTTCGTCACCGATCTATTTAGGAAGATTTCAGTACAACTTGCCATGCTGTGGCAGCCAACGAATATCATTGCATGTTGTGGATCTTTTGGTGGCCTATATGATTATATATTTGCACGCTGATACTGAGAAAACACTTACAATAGCAGTGAGTAAATTATAGGTAAGTGTCGGGTCAACAAAATCGTCTTCATGAGCAGACTGTACACTCACTCTCGTTCAGGAAACCTCGCAATGGTTGAACTATACTATGACTATGTGTGGAAACGAAATCTGAATATAATCGACAAGGGCGATACAGTTTTATACGACAATGAACGACAGAACGGGACCACGTATTACTATCATCCTAAGGTGGGTAGAAGGTATTGGTACATACCACCCTCAGTTAATGCATATTACTTTTATCCTTGAGAGAAAATGAATAAACCCTTTGCCGTTTCTGATGTATTACATGAAGATTAATAAACTGATCCTGTTCAGGGGTATTCCGCCAGAAAGGTTTTAGTATGATCACAATATTCCTACCAGACGGCCTGATGGTCTTATACAAATGTGGTTGATGAAAAGCTAATTTTTTTTGTTATAAAACTGTTTGATTGTGTTTCACTTTACACACACTGGGTCGCACTACATTGAACTCATCGAATCGATGATTGTGCTTGTATTTGACAGGATGTAAAAGCCAACACCACGTGTAAAGCGATTGATATGAGAGTGGGGATCCTGAAGCCAACATTTTTAGCGGGTGCAGACTACCATGGCCTCCTACAAGTGTACTCGCACGCACTTAACACTGAGGTAAGATATATATAATTCAATGTGTAAGTCCAGTTTCTAGACTGGGTGGTCTATTGTGAATTACTGGAGAATTAAGATAGTGCACCATTCTTGGCATGTATATATGTGGCAATCTCCATAGTTTTGTAGCTATCAACCCCACTAACGCCTACAGGTTCAAGCTGAGTACTGGTCTAAGTCTGGCGGTGGACAGGCGCCCTTCTTGCACTACTACCACGACCCAAACCGCAACGTGCCTGTGAAATGGACGTTTTTTGACAACGCGACCTTTGACGTTGTGTCGTGGGATACAAGTGTGGACTGCATGACGAGGTATGTGGCACTTTTATGATGGTGTGCCTGTTTGTCACTCAAACATGTTTAGACATGTGCAAGTAGGCATTCGAGTAACATATGGTAGCTATGGTATAAATTGAAGATTCGTATAAACAATAAGATTTGTTTATGTCTACAATGCCCAGCTCAGACTGTAACGAGTTCCAGTAACGATGGGACGCACACGCTTACGGTGGAAGGTGCACGAATCAGTATCCCTGGTTATTTTTTTCAATCGAAATCCCGCATCAATACATATCTTGAACGCTCGCACGCTATCTTAGAAGCATGTTAACATGCCCCAGTATTGATTTGCAGTCCTTTGGTATTGGCTACAGAAGATTTTATCACTGCATTCCACTAATATTTGTCTTTCCCTCTTCGCGTATAATTGGAACAGATTGGAAGTGGAGGAAGCCTTCTTAATACCCAGCTACTGTACAGACCTGACCCCCACATTAGCATCACTGAACCCAAACACCAAGAACGGTACACATTCCGATATCGCTGCATCGCACATTGGTGGTGGTTGCCCATACACGCGAACTGCAAACAATTCGAAAAGCGACTCTCCAGCGAGCACTGGAAACAGGTTTCATTCGAAGACTATAATAGGTGTGTGTGTCTATGGCCTCTTTAGAATGCACTGCACGACAAAATGTACGTGTCCCGTATTCAACACCGATTGCGACCCATTTGAATACGTGTGTCTTCAGCACGATTTTTTTTTTGCGAAGTTCTGTATTATGATCTCAAGCCATATGAATTTTATTCGCAGCTGGAGCAGGTAATTGCTTTGACTATGGAGACTTGAGTCTTGTCCACTCCAGACTTTCTCTCTTAGTACTTCAAGCAATGCTCTCGTTACAACAGAATTCGATTAAGGACTCATATCGCAGATGATCTGCGTAGTTTTCAATGCGCTGCCTCACAATTGTTAAATGCGTATAGTTGTGCACACCGTCGTACACAGAAATCTACACGTGTACATCACTGATCTAACACCAATTGCCTCTGAACAGCACCTGCAAACAATTCCGAGTCAGATCCCAGGGTCACCGCTCTCTTCTTTGCTGTGCTGTTGCTGCCATTGGTTGGTGTAGCACAACTCTTCAAGTTGTCGCGATGGTCTGTCGAAGCCAACATAAACAGTGCAGCAACGAACACGGAAAGGGTGTTGAACAGGGGTGCTCGCAACTTCTCCTGACCGATTGTTAAAAAACTCTTAACAGCTAACAAATGAACACTCTTATAAGACACCTGACCACAAATTGGCCCAGAGGTTTCCAAATTGTTCACGCGTAGTTCTACTGCCTGGTGTATGTTTGTTCCGACTCGTGTGTGCATTGACGCACACATTCAAGTGTACAGCAGTATATCACACTTCTATACCTGCGATGACAGCAATCATAGTGGTCTATTACGTATTAGTATCAGCATATTACGTATCCCTGAATCGATCATTGCGCGTTGTGACTCGATGTTGTATCGTATTCTCGCTGTAAGCGACTCTACTTCTGAGTTTTACTAAGTATTACACTCATTTGTGTATCTCTTTCAACATAAGTGCGTTTTTGGCAGGCCATATTATGTTTTTAAAAATTTACAAATATACATATATATATGTATGTATGTATGTATGTATGTATAGATATATAGATATAGATATAGATATATAGATAGATATATAAAGTTAAATATATATATAGTTAAATAATATATATATATATATATATATGTATATATGTATTTATACATATACATATATAAATATATATACAGAATATAATAATATATACAGTATATAGTGAGATATATATATTTACATATATATATAAACATACACACACACTTATATATATATATATATATTATAAATATATGTAAGTAATATGTATGTGTGTGCGTGTGTGTATGTATTTATATCTGTACGGATATATCTATAATAAATTTATAAATTTTCATCTTATTATAGCATGTATATACATGAATTGAAAATTATATAAATGTACTTTTTACATATATATATATATATATATATATATATAATAATATAATTAATATATATATATGTGTGTGTGTGTGTA